CAAGTGAAGTTTGTTAGATGACCCCTAGGAAGCCTGAGGGATCGAGTCAACACAACAGGAGTCTTCAGGAGCCAAACTTGTTCTGAACGTATTGCAATGTGACACAGCTTCCTTTTCAATGCAATAAAAATGAGAGATGACACTTAATAATAGTAATAATAGTAATAATAATAATAATAATAATAATAATAATAATAATGATAATAATTCAACACAGATCATGTGACTTTAGTGAGTATATTAAAAGCAAAACTGGGCATGAGCTGCAACATTAACTTCACTTTTCAACACACATGAATTCTAGTGTTTGGGAGAAAGCTGTAATGTCCATCAGTATATTCACCAGCAAGTGTGTTTCCCTAAACTTACAGGAAGTAATAAAGACACATTTACCATGTGTGAGCTGAGGAGCACTTAGAGGCTGGTCATGAGTGATGATCATGACTCATTATGAAAAATAAGATTAATCATAAGAGTATAACTGTAATCAATAATATCATCTATTAGAATTAAAGAGCTTAAAATGAAAAGAAAAAAAAAGTGGTTGGTTTATTTAATTATTTATATGTTCTTTGATTATAGAGCTATGGTTAAGTGCCTAAGTGGAGACATCTTGTGCCATAAAGCTGCTACTACAGCTGGTCTACAGATAATTGCTCTTTAGAGATCTAAATTTACATCCAGATTTCTGCAGAAAGAAGAAAGAAGGCCTTTACTGTCTCATATACATGTACAGGACAATACAATTATTTTCCTTCACATACTGGTAGGAATTTGGGGTAGAGCTGTAAAGCTGCTTTGTGACAATGTCTAATGTTAAAAGTTCTCTACAAACAACATAACATAAACTAGATAATAAATTATCATGAAAACAAATGCGAAGCAACTAAAGAGGGAAAACACAAAACTTATAAATAGGAACCAATCAGGGGAAACATAAGACAGGCGTGTAGAGGAAATCAGTGGAACAACCGAGGAAGAAATTCATACTATGAGAGAGATGCCCTCTGCTGGTCTGACAGGGAATTGTCTGTGCTGACAAATATAAAGTGATCTTTTCTAGTTTTAATGACTTTGTGTCACAGTATCTGTGTAAATTGTGCAAAACGTTGTATTCTTGTACATTTTCCTTCATTATTATAGTTTCTTTTTAGAACACAGGGTTCAGTTTTTTTTAATCTGTTAAGTGAATTGAAGTATTTAAGTTTTGTTTGATTCACCACTCATTTGTCTGTGCTGATAAATCTAAAGCGATCTTTTCTATTTTTAATGACTCTTCTTTGTGTCACAGTATCTGTGTAAATTGTGCAAAACGTTGTATTCTTGTACATTTTGCTTCATTATTATAGTTTCTATTTAGCATACTGGGTTTAGTTTTTTAATCTGTTAAGTGCATTGAACTATTTAAGTATTGATTTGTTTGATTCACCACTCCAGAAACATTGTAGAATTTTAGCAGCACTGTGTACAAAACCAGATCTCTGTACTAGCCGCCTTTACTAATTTATTTCATTTTTGTCTATAAAATAAGATGAGTTGGGCTGTTATAGGAAAATAATCAACAAAAGAGTGGTATGATGCCATTTTCTTACAGTACATGTCATAGTGTTTTATTCCACTTGTAACACAGAAAGTTGGCAAAAATTACAGTTTTTATTTATTAAAGAATGCCACGTCTTATTTTGTCTCCTATGTACGCCCACGAAGAAGCAGGCCTAGACTAGATGTACTGAGAATGCCACTTTGTCACTACAACATGTGACATTATTAAGCTTGCCAGTCAGATTCAGCCACGTCACTATGTACAGTACCAACTAGTGTTGAGGATGTCAGGACTGATGATGGCAGCCATAACAGTAATCCCCCTCCTCCTTGTGCTAGAGTCCTTTAAGGCTCCTCCTTACAAGCAAGATACCAGACTGAAATGGGTGTCTCTGAAAACTGTCTTTTTGCTAGTGTTCACTTCAGTGAAACGTGTGGAAGAACTACATACTCTGGTAATAAGCTCTTCCTGTGTGTGCTCATGACATGGT